TAATCTCTAAGACTATTTGTCTTTATTTTAGTGCAAAGGCCATTTTGCTGTGGAAGCCTTTAAAGTGTCGGTTTGTAAACCTAAGGGCCTTTAACTTTCTAGCCCAATCACTGTTTAAACATTTTTGTAGCTAAACCCCATCTTTGTAAAAACATCCTATCAATATCTATTCTGTGGGATTTTCCACATTAAAAGGGGAAAAAATCTGAATCTAATTTCAGAAAACAACATATTTAGCTATTGGTCTCTCATTTGAAATTTGGCTGTGACTTTGTCTTAGTGTAACCCCAGATACTGTCCTAGAGTCCTAGAGGGGAAACGGGATCCAAAGACAAGCATGAGAGTGTTGTTCTAGAACACTGCCTTCACAGATGCCGAGGAGCATGGTGCACACAACTCCTCTTCATGTGGATGGTTTCACTCCTAGGGTCACTACTGAGCTAGTCCCCAAAGAGAAACACAAGTATGCAAAGCCAGCCCACATGTGATCCTTAGAGAAACACAGGTGTGCAAGGTGAGCCCACATATGGCCCTCAGACACAGGGTAATGTGTGTGCAAGGCCAGCCCATATGTGGTCCTTACACATGGGGAAATCTTGACAGGCCTTGATTCCTAACTAAAAAGTAATAGTTTCCTGTCCCTCACTGTTCAGGGAGAAAGATGCCCAATTTAGTTGTCGCTAAAAGAAAGCTCATTTGTGGACATAAATGAATGGCTGTATTACAAGTTTCTGTGGTTTATTGAGAAAGAATATGCCACCAGATCCATGAGGGAAAGGAAAACAAACACATCGGTAAAACTGCTGGACTCACGGAAGTTTTTCCTAAATAACTTCCTAGCCAGGGCCTAGAAAGAAACACCCAAGATGGCCACTTGGAGGTAGCTTGGAAGGCCAGCTTTGCTTCAGACTGCAACGCCACATCTGATGACCCGAACTGCCAACTGCAGAGGAGGTTAGGAATCGTATGACAGGGTTGGTAGGCTGCCAACAGATCCCATCATTCTGTGCGAGTTTTCTCCTCTTGGCGTTCCTCCCTCTGATACTGTCATGGAGGCAGAGCAGAAAGGAAGCTAACTGCCTCTGGGTTTATCTTTGTATAGTTACCTTGAAAGCGACACCCACTCATACTCTGGATAGCTCTCCCTGGCTGTTTTATGTGGACCCTGGAGGCTATTTAGTAAACCGAGTATACTCAAATAGCTCCCTCCACTCACATAACAAAAATCAAAAGTAAGACATATCTTGCATTATAGTCAGCTGGTGATGTGCAGAATTAAGGAGAGAAAATGGATTCATTTCCAGTGCACATCAATGCCCAGTGAAGTGGCAGAAGGAACCATTCCCCGAAACCACCCCTAGATAAAAGGAAAGGAAATGATTAGGTCACAGTGTCTGTGAACAACACAATGCTGCTGGACTTGCCAGCTCGGGTATGGGCTCTGACTAAACACAATGCAAGAATTTCCAAAAAGTCAGAATAAAGTCTCCCTCAAAAATAAATCCATCATGAAAATTTCAGTAAGTTTAGCAGTAAGGCAAGGAGCCCAATTCGTCAACCACAGTCTCGCCAGCCCTATGTTGATGTGGCAAGGTACCTTGGCATCTTCCTGGGGAAGCTGTTCTTTCTTCTCCATCAACACAGCATCTGAAGTCTCCTCTCCAGAGGAGCTTGGCTCAGGGCCTGCAGCTTCTGGTCTCCCGTTTTCTCTGGGGGCTGGGGGCTGCTCACAAGGTAGGTTTCTATGTGGGCCTTTGGGACTGCTCCCTTGTTCTTCCGATAGCTTCAGCCTTAGTTCTAAGAGAAACAGCATGAGTTACCACGAGCAGGAAGGACTCACTGACCAAAGAGAGCCTCTAGGGTTTCCTCTCCAGATGTCATACTGATGGGCAGGAACAAAGCCAATGATGGCTTTGGATAGATGATGTCAGCCTTAATCAGGACCAGTACCAGAAGCACCCAATCAGACATGGGAACAGGGCCCTAAAGGCTGGGCTTCATGGGGTAGAGAACCGTGTGTGACCAGAACACCGTTTAGACTGCAGCCGAAGAGTTCTAGAGGACCAGCAGTACCAGACCCACAGCATTCACCCGCCATCTCCTGGAGCACCTGAAATTCTATATGCTATGGCTCAGTGGTATGCTTGGTGAAAGCAGCTATGTGCCAAGAGCCCTGTGGAAAGACAGGAACATCTGTCTGCATTACATGTGCAGAAGGAAACAGAAGGGAAGGCGGGGACTTTAGAATTCCATCCCACCTTGACAGGCTCCACAATTTTGTCTAATGCTAACCTTTTTATCAAATATTTATTTTTATGTGTATTTGTGTGTGTATATTCTCTCTCTCCCTCTCCTCCCCACCCTGCCCCGTATGCCACATTAGTGCAGTGCTCATGGAGGCCAGAAGAGGGTATCCGATCTCCTGGAGCTGGAGTTACAGATGGTTGTGAGCTACAGTATGGGAGCTGGGAACCAAAATCAAGTCCTCTGGAAGAACAGCACATGGTCTTAACCACTGAGTTCTCTCTCCAGCTCCTAATGTTAACATTTAAAATCCAAGAATCACCATTAAAATTATGTGGCTTTTTATGAGCCTAGACAATTACAAATCACCACCTAGGACTTATCAGGGAATTACATTTCAGAATATGCCATGTTCCCATCAGCTGAATTTGAACATGGCCCTTTGTATTAATTTCTCAGTTATATAATGTAGCTCATTCTCATCATTCCGTTGTGTGCTCCAGCACTGTGTTTTATGTTTTGTTGTTTTCTTGTTGTTGTTTGAGACAGAGTCTGACTCTATGGTAACCCGGAACTCACTATGAAGCGAGACTGGCCTTCGATTCCTAGCGATCCTCTCATCTCAGCTTCCCAAGTACTGAGGTCACAAGCTGAGCCACAACGGCTGGCCTAGCTTTGTGTTCAAACACTGTGTACTTTATAAATGTGCTACATCATTACAGTTAAAGGCCATCGAATCACTATTCCCTTCTGGTTCTCAATCACGCCTCCAGAAATTTGGACCAGCTACAGAATAAAAGGAGGAAGAAAGTGATGTAACCAGACAGTGATTGCCCTTTCCAAACAGAACTGGAGTCAGTTAACACACCACTGTCTCCAGAGGGACAGAGAAAAAAGAGGACTGGACCTGGGCAGGAGAACCATGTTGTCCACCTGACTCACCATCTCCAAGTCGCACACCTATCCCCTGTGGGCACAGCAGCTGCACCTGTGTGATGGGGCTCCTTGGGCCCTTTTTATTTTCAGTGCCTAGAAACTTGATGACCAGGGAGGTAGAGCTCCACAGGTTGATGTGAATGGCCACATGGAGGCTGGAGGTTCTTGAGGGCTCTTTGTAAGGTCAACCAAGAGGGACTTAACACTGTGGAAACACTGGACCCTTGTTTTAACTGGGGCTTCAATCAAAGTAGGGGACCAAGCTCAATTGGGCTTAGGTGGAAATGGAGCAAGTCCAGGACACTAGTCTGCTAACTGGTGCTTCTGAAAGGAAAGACATTTACCTTTGAGCTGTTTGCGGCCTTTAGCCAAATCGTTCATCCATTTCAGAACTTCAGGATTAGAAGTCTTGTCACCATGGGATGGCTACAAGAGAGGGGAGAATGGAAGTGGATGGGGCAAAGGGAAAGGAAAACCAAAAGGTTTAAGGAGCCGAGTCACACAAACATAATTCAGAAACACACTGCCTTAGTCACTTTTCTTTGCTGTGATAGAAACACTGACCAAAGCAATTTATAGAAGGAAGAGTTTATTTGAGCATACGGTTCCAGGGGGATTACAGTCCATCATAGCAGGGAGGCATGGCAGCAGAGGTAGCTGGAGGAGGAGTAGAAGCTAAGTTCTACATCTTCAAGCAGGCACAGGAAGCAAGAGAGTGACTAGAGGTCTAGCAAGGCTTAAGAACTCTCTAAGCCCACCCCCAGTGACGTGCTTCCTCCAGGACAGCCACACCTTCTAAGATCTCCCAAAACGGCACCATCATCTGGAGACAAAATGTCCAAATACTTGGAGCCTAGGGGGGATATTTTCATTCAAACCAGCACACACACCAAGCCAGGAGAGACAATTCTGCAGAAGTACAGCTAATGGAATGTTCTGGAGAAGGCAGACGCTCTTGACACGCTTCACTTTCACTCTTACTGTGAACATCGTTTCTAAACAAGCCTGGGCACCCAGCGTTTTCACAAACCCTAACCATGCTACTGCACCCCGCTGCCCAACTCTCTCTCACACTGTAGGCTACCCAGAGCCCCACACTTCATTGCCAGGCCAATCCTTGCATCAGTGGAGATGAACTCGGTGATGATACAAACCAGTATTTCAAGCCTAGTGTATGTCCCGGGACCACAGTCTACTGAAAAAAACTGAGAGCCTATTAGCTCTGTCCTCAAAGGTGAAGAGAGGAAACCTGCCATCTCTGAAACCTGATAACTGTCCTGAAAGTATGTGTGTATTGGTGGTGGGGAAAGGGGGTTAGCCAGATTTCTAATCATTATAGACTCAAGATCCTACTGGGCCAGCAGTAAAGTGAACTTCATGGTGTATGGTGACCTTCAGCAGGTGGTTCAGCGTCTCTGTGCACCACCTTCTCATATACTGAATATGTGAAGATCATATTATCTCCCTCATGGAGTTCCTGTGATGCACTCATACCTGCAAAGCATGGAAACGACTCCAGAAGCGTTCCCCAGGACGACAAGTACTGCCTTCACTGGTTTATTCTCACTAGTGGTGTGGTGCGGTAGTGTTTCCACCAGACCTTTGTATCTTCGTTAGCAAACACACATGAAAGGAGATGTGTGGCTTTACCAATCAGATCACTCACTCGACTTCTGAATTCCTTCCTAGAGCACCAAAGTGGACTTTCCACCAAAAAGGGGAACTAGAGGAGAAGTGTGACCAAACATCCTTACCCTCTTATCCTGCAGATCACAGAGTGTCCTTAGGCCAAAGCCGCCATGCTGTCAAAAGCAGGCTGGAGAAGAGCATACAGGAGTGCTACTGTACTGCTCCAGATGCCTTAGTACAGGGTAACAGCCTGACATGTCTACACTGTCAGCGATCAGTGCTCACAGAGTCACTACACCCATGTAACAGGAGCACTCTTGAATGACTGGCACAGGATGAGGCAAATCACATTCAAGTTCAAAAGAAAAAAACAATACTGTTCATGGATCAGGTATATTCACTGTGAGAATATTGCATAGCTCGGTTATAGATATGGAGTGGTGTAAAAACCCAAATCTTAAAATCAAGATGGAAAATAAGACTGAAAGAAAATTACAAGGAGTCCTTCCTTGGGTAATGTGAATGGAAGACTGGCTTCCATGCAAGAGCCCAGACATCAGGACCGTGGACAGCGGCACGGGTGCCGGTGCCAGGACCCTGCTACTGAGTCTAGTTCTTCAGATCCAGCCATCTATATCCGCAGTGGAAATTTGACTTTGGTCTCTCGGGATCCACAGAGAATTCTCCAATATCCAGGTGTGTAGGTCCTTGTTGGATTTATCTCACACAGCTGATTCTTTTGAACCATGACTAAACACACACACACACACACACACACACACCACCACCACCAATACTACTGCCAAAGAAATTTACAAAACACCCAAAGATTTTAAACCAGTGACCAAAAAGTAGTTTTGACTCCCACACACAGGACGAAGGAGAAACCTGAGGCTGAATTTTCTGACCAAATAATTTAAAGCCAGTTTAAAAAATGATTTATCTCAATAATTTTCCTGTTCTTGGGGAGCTTTTAAAAGAGGTTAACTAAGCCCAGAGAGATGGCTCAGCAGTTAAAAGCACTGGGTGCTCTTCTGTAAGACCCAGGGTTCAGTTCCCAGCACCCACATGGTGCTAACAACCATCCATAACTCCAGTTCCAGGAGATCTGATGCCCTCTTTTGGCCACCACGTGCACTGCATGACACGAGTGCACTTACACAGACACAGGCAAAACACTCATACACATAAAAAAATTTTTTAATTTAAAGTTTAAAAAAATTTGGGGCTGGAGATACAGCTCAGCAATTAAGAGCACTGGCTGCTCTTGCAGAGAACCTAGGTTCGATTCCCAGCACCCACACGGCAGCTACAACCATCCACAAATCCAGTTTCAGAGGATCCAACAGCCTCTTCTGACCTCTGGGGGCACTGCATGACACAGGTGCACTTACACACATGCAGGCAATACACTCATACACATAAAATAAAAATAATAAAATATTTTTTAAAAACAGTGGTTAACTCAAGCTCACATGGATGGCAACTCTCCAAACCATGGAAGTTTTCAGGTGCAAGCTGTGGCTGTTCTGGCCTCCTTATTTAAGTGAAAGAGTGCTAGAGCAGACCTCACCACTTAAACACTCAAAACTTACAGTCTAGATTTCACTCGGTGCAGTTAAAGTGAGACATGAGCACATTGCTGCAGATGCTATTGGGTGGATTTTTGTTCTCCCAAAAATGGTTCATAGGACACATCAGATTTCTGGATTAGTCATGAAAAGTCCGGTTGTTATCTTGACTAGAGGCTTTGTTGTGTGACTCTGGGGAAGTCTTTCACCTCTCTGAGCCTTCGCTTTTTTAGCAATCTGATAAGAAAACATCTGGCTGGTCCCTTCTAATTTTAACACCCTCTTCCTTTACTGAAAACAGACATGTGGTAGAACTAGGCTTTCCTAAGCCCATTTATCCAGAAATCAAGTGTGAAATAAATGATACAGTCAGCATAGTTTGGAGAAAGGACATGAAATTGCTACATTTAACAGAGATGGAAAGATGTATATATGGATAGACATCAAAGACCACGGGAACCCAGAAGGAACATAGATTCAGAAATTACCAGTGATTCCACAGTCCAGCTGACAGGCGGGGAAGCAAGCCTTACACAGAGCAACCTACTAAAGTTCACTGGCGTGTCAAACCTCTAACTACAGCCTGACACATGACAGGGTGGGCAAGGGGAGTGCCCGGTTTCCTCGGACAACGGGTTGCTGACTGCACCAAAGACATTAGACACTAATGCAGCGATGAACGTGAGCCTCGAACCCCACTGTTGCCACATCCACCTCCCTGTTCATGTGCACGTGTGTATCTGTATGTATATGTGTGTGCGTCTGTGTGTGTATCTATCTCTGTGTATTTGTGCGTGTGTGTGTGTGCGTGTGTGTGTGTGGGTGTGTGTGTGTGTGTTGTATGGAGTGGGGTGAGGTCAGCTTGCCTGCCTGCCCTGGTTTTAAAGCTGAAGGCAAGAGTTGCCAGGACAAAGCCAACTGTTAGCAGTTATCATAGTTGGTACAAAATTCTGGGCGCACAACTGCAGACAGGTCCGATGAGATGTACTATGCACAGTTTCTGTTTTCTCACAAGGCAGCGGCTGTCAGTAGCCTGTTTAGTATTGCTCAGATTAAAAGGTTAATGATATCTTGATCCTTTCACTACCGTTGTGGTAAACACTAGTAAGCATTACGTATGTATCCTTCACCAACAGGCCCCAACTTCCATCATTACTAACAAACACTCAGAAAACGAAGTAGCACAAAGTGACAAGGTCCTGAGCCTTGTATCGGGTCACAATCCAGAACAGCCTGACTGGAACTGCCAGCCAACAGACCCAGAAACACAAGCCCCAGTGTCACTCTACAGTGTCCAATGTGACAGTGTCACAGCAGGTAGAGGTGAAACCAGCTGGGGAAATCGGAGCTGTCAAAACCTGGACACGAGTTCTACTTACACTCCACCACTGGCAAGTCAATTCGTCTTTAACTTACTGCTCCGAGCCTCAACTGACAGCACACAGCTAGTTAGAAGTCTTCACTGGGCCTGGGCTTCCTTATCTGCACACAAGCCCTGGCGATAACAGAAACAGAGCCTCCTGGTCCAGGAAGGACACTGAGCAGCTGTGATGCCAACTGAGGAAGAGATGAATCTGCAGCCTCTTCACCAAGGTGGTCTTAAAGGTGATCTGATTTCCCTCTTTCTAGAAAGCTAAAAGCCACCCCTTAAGAGAGCTCTTTTACTGAAGCTGAGGCTACAGCACAGGGAACGTGGGAGAATGGCACGGTCCCTGCTCTCCGCACTCCCAGAACTCCCTAGGACGAGTCGCATGCTCACAGGAACCTAATCACCTCTGTACCGCGTGCTTAGTGAGCTTTTAAATATTTAAGATGTTTGAGAGATTATTCCCTATTCTATTTTATTCTAATAACAAGCTGTTCTGGGCTGCCTGCCAGAGACCCACTATCTTTGTGCAATTCTGTGTGAATATGATTTTTTTCTATGCCATAGTCACCACGAGAGAAAATAAATAAAAGCAGCATTGGCCATCAAGGCCCACCTTCGGCTCTGTTGCTTCTTACATGAGAAGAGATAAAGTTGAAGTGGGAAGCACTGCGCACCCAGGGCAAGGGCTGGTGTCCACTGGGACAGGGTGGCTCCACGATGGCCTGAGTGAGAAGCCACCACTCATCCAGCAGGCAGCTCCTTCAAGTCAAGGAAACCAACTCTTCCTGATTAGGCTCTGCCCCTTGGGTCCTTAATAAGTTCTTATTAAAATACAGATGGGAAAAAATTAAAGATAAAAAACATAATTCAAGAGCTTTCCAAATTTGGGGAAAAGACATTCCAAAATTTAAATGAACGCTTCACTTCACTTGCTTCTAGAAAACCTAGAGGTAGTAAGGTTCCTAGGAAGGAAAAAAAAAATAATCAAATAAGTGTAAAGAGTGAGCTGTGGATAGCAGGATGTAGCCTAGTGGACATCAGCGGGCTTCGTGTGAACACAAGGCAGACTTGAGATGGAACTTGGCATGATGGGTACTGGGTGGCCAGTGGGAACAGAGCTGTCCTCCAATGAGGAGGGGACCCAAAACCAAGGCTGGAGACCCAAGAAAACCCACAAACCTCTGCCTGACACAATCTGCTCTTACGTTAAACCCGGGGGCACTTACCCGGTATTTCTTCTCTTGCTCAAATTTCTCTTCAAACTTGCGAATTTTCCGCTTGAGGCTTTGGATGTGCTTGGTGAGCTGAGTGATGGTCTGGGGCTCCTTGCTGTCTCCACTACTGCACCGAGAAGAACTCCGGGGCCTGCCATGATCACAGAGAGCAAGAGGGTCTTCCAGTGAATGCTACTGCCTAGGAGATTAGGGGACTCCAAGGGCAGCTCTTTATACTAGTCTACCATGAGCCCACAACTCTCCTGGGGGGTCTGGAGACTTCTGACCACAGAATTGCATTATGAATAGATGTCCTCAGAGACGTTAGTCTACAGATGTCAGAATATTGGTGCAAGAAATGCACTTCTCAAAGCTTGGCAAGGCCAACCTAAGCCTCAGAAGAGCCCAGCTGTGGTGCAGTCATCAGCAGCTGCATAAGCCACACCACCTGAGTTTTCAAGAAAGGTTTAAATAAGTGGTTAACTTTGCTTGATATAAGAGAACGTTTTCAGCTGAGAGATGGCTCAGTTTAAGAGAACTGACTACTCTTGAAGAGGACCCAGGTTCGATCCCCAGTACCCACATGGAGGCTAACAAACATCTAATTCCAGTTCCAAGGGATCCAGCACCCTCTTCTGTCCTCCGGGGTGCTGCATGACATGGGTGCACTCACATACATGCAGGCAATATACTCATACACATAAAATAAAGTCAAAAAATTTTTAAACGAAGAGAGCCTTTTAAAATATGACAAAAGCAGTGGTCCTCTCTCCGGAAAATGTGTCACCCATTTTCATGAGACACACAATTTCCATGCATGATAATAACTTACTAATTCTGTCAGTACACAGACCAGAAACTGAGGTTGGGGCAAATTCAAGAATAACAGCAGAAATTATGAGGTAGAAACTGGGGGTTTCCAGAACATACTTTTAGCCAAGGAATTCTTAATTTTCCTTATACATCAAGATTATTGGTGCAACCTAAAATATAAATATCGCATGGTTCTCAATCTCATTCCAATCTCAAATGCAAATGACCAATGCAGAACGAGGAAAGAGGGAGGACCCCGTCTCTGCACAGCGAGATGCTACTCTATCCACCCATTTCATTTGGGGTCGGGGTGGTTACTTTTAAGATACCACTTTGCTAGAACCTAGAAAGAAACTGAAAGGGGTGACTTTCTAGTCCACACTCCATCCACTGTTATATATGAAAAGCACACTGAGCCAGATAAGAATTATAACTCTTGATATTTGCCGTGTGTGTGTGTGTGTGTGTGTGTGTGTGTGTGTGTGTGTGTGCACACATAGTTACACATAGGATTTTGATTCTGGTGATTTCACCCAAAGTGTATTTCTGGGGTAGCCTGGCTCTCAGGCCCATTTCCTCCCAAGACCTTAAGTTGGTCCTGAAGCAGCACTCCCAACAGGGAAGGAGTCTTGTTTGCCGCTGTGATCTAGCTGTACTCAGCTGTCCTATTCCAGAGCCACATTTCATCATATGTTGTAAATCTCTTTGGAAAGCTGCTTGAAATGAAGACAACCACCAAATCAGGATTCCTTACATCATAAACTGCTGGCTGCTGGGTGGAGATGGGGCTGACTCGGGGTCCAAGTTGAACCTCTGGCTTTGGCTGAAGATGGAGCACCGTGGTGACAGCAGAGGGTTATCCCCGTCGGTGATGTGATAGAGGAGCCTGCTGGTCCCTGCAGACTGGATGTCTTCTGGTACACCGTCAGCATCGCTCTGCCCATCTTTATGCGTTGGCATGGGGTCTGTGGAAACATGATGGGTGATCCAGACTTAGAAGTGGCAGAGGGCTGGAGACTGTCAAGCTCTTAAGTAAAGATCATAAACATTCCCTATAATGACATGCCTCTGTGATTTCTCCCTTCTGGGGATATGAAACACTTTCAAAACACTGTCGTGTTTGTTCTCACAGAACCTGGATAGAAAACATTACCAAGCGACCAACCAAAATAAAGGGAAACTATTTCAGCATGAGCTGTTGCAGTCAGCATAGTCCAGACCTACAAAAGCCTTATCGCATAGTATCTGAGCATGCTGGAGGGTATGTTGAGAGCAGCTAGAGCTGGAGCAAAAGACATAGTTTATGAGGCAGAAAGGGGATGAGAGAATTATCCACCAGTAAAGGAAGAGGGGGAGGAGGCGGGCAGAAGAGAGGGAAAAGCAGGAAGGAGAGAGGGACAAGGGTCCTCCCACAGGGAAACCGTGATGGCCCTCAGATGTGATGGGAACCCTGCTCATCAGTGAGGTATGGCACCTAGAATGTGCTCAATGGAAACCTGAGTTCAAAACATGGCAGTAATGCTCCATTTTATATTAAAAACATGCACAACTGTGTACAGATTACTGTACTGAAGCCAAAAAAGGGGCCAGCAAGATGGTTTGGTGGGTAAAGTTCCTGACTGCCAAGCTTGACAACCTGAGCTTGATTCCTGGGACCCACAGGGTGGAAGGAGAGAACTGACCCCCAGAAGTAGTCCTCTGACCTCCACATGCACATTGTGGCACACGTGCATCCAATCTCTCTCTCTCTCTCTCTCTCTCTCTCTCTCTCTCTCTCTCTCTCTCTCTCTCAAATGTAATAAAATTTTTTATTTATTTTTATTTTCTGTGTACAACTATTATACCCGCATGTTATGTTAAGTGCACCAGCATCATGCAATGTCCATGGGTGACAGAAGAGAGCATCAGATCCCCTGGAACTGGAGTTATGGACAGTTGTTATCTGCCATGTGGTTCTGGGAATCGAACCCAGGTCCTCTGCAAGACCAGCCAGTGCTCTTAACTACTGAGCCATCTCTCCAGCCCCAGCAATAATTTTTTTTTTAAAAGAAAAGCCACCAGGCGTGGTGGTACACGCCTGTAGTCCCTGCACTTGGGAAACAGAGGCAGGCAGATCTCTGTGAGTTCAAGGCCAGCCTGGTCTACATAGTGAGTTCCAGGATACTTGGGGCTACAGGGAGACCCTGCTTCAAAAAGAAAAAAAAGAAAGAAAGGAAAGAAAGAGAGAGAGAGAGAGGAAGGAAGGAAGGAAGGAAGGAAGGAAGGAAGGAAGGGAGAGAAGCCAAAGAGGTAAGAGAGTAAGTCCAAAGACTGTGGAATTAGGAATGACTCCATTGTGTTTTCTAAAGTTTCATTTAACACTTTATTTTAGACAAAACAGAAATGAAAACAAGACCTGCTGGAAGTAGGTGGCCTCCTCAGCTCCCAGCTCGGCCTGTGTCCACCTGCTTCCCACTCCTCCACTTAAGTTAGCTCCTCACTGTGCCCCCAGGGCCCACCCAGAGGCTGCCTTCCCCTGTGCTAAGGGGGAAGATGAGAGGGAGGTGTGTTGGGCAACAGAGCCTCAGGGTTCCCAGGACAAGGGCCTCTCAGTCCTGGGCTTTGGACAGTTACTCAAGTAAGAGCTCAAACTCTTCCTCGGTGTCTCCTACCAAAAGTCAGTGTGCCCAGAGGCTCTCATATGCCTGTCTATCTTAAAGAAAACAGAAAACAAAGACTGGGGTGAATAAGCAGAATACTAAAGGAGTGAGCACTCACTTTTTCAAGGTAAACATCACAATTTGGTACCATATGACTCTTTAATTTCTTTATTTTTATTTTATGTATATGACCATTATGTGTGCGTGTGTGGAAGTGCACCCGTGTTGTACAGTGCCCATGGAGCACAGAAGAGGACATCAGATCCCCTGGAACTGAACAGTTGTTAGCCGCCATGTGGAAGCTGGAATTCAAACCCGGGTCCTCTGCAAGAGCACACAGTGCTCTTACCCGCTGAGCCACCTCTCCAGCTCCTGGTACCAACCCTGGTCGTAACTCTTAGATTTAGACTGGCGCCTTGCTCTCTAAGCTTGAAATACAGTCTACTTTGTGTAACATCAAGGGTTTGACTGGGTCCTCGTATGTTTTCATGTGGCTTGACCCCTGGTGGACAGACGGCCCTCTGCTGCTGTCTTTAAAGCACTTTAAAGCACTGACAGCTAGTGCTGCAGATGAGTGAGCACAGAGCCTGGGATGCAGGTGAAGCCCTGAAGGGCATCAGAAAATAAGACTTACTACACGAGAACGACTGCGGAACATTCACTTTCACGTCCCCCGGGCAAGGGCTGGGGAAAGTTCCCACCAAATCCTTTCCTTAAACCATTAGGCTCTAAGAAGAGATGCTATTCTATCACCTGCTTCTTGGAAGTGTCTTCTACTTCTAGGAGAATAAAATAACCTTCATGTACCTGGGACCAGCCTGTTTACCTTGAAATGGAAAAGATCTTGAGACCATCACCCCTTCAGCTCAGCCAGGACCCCAAGACCAAAATAAACACAGGTCACTTCTCGCCATTTCAAAGTAGCCAGTTGGAAGAACTCAAGAACTCAGTTTCAGAAGCCCACAGAGTCCTAATACAGAACTTCAGAGAAAGGCAGTACCCCATGCACAGCTCTTGCTGAACTACAGCATTTTTTCCACAGACACTTGCATGCATAATTTACCACTGCAGCCTGATTAACACCTTCACCTCCCTTCCCTCCAATTCACTGCTGAAGGAAGCTGTGAGCCCAAGAGGCCCCCAAGCAACCCACTGAAAAGCAAAAGAATCAAAAACTGGTAATTTGGCAGAGCCTCCATTCTTTGTCCAAACACATCATTTGAGTTGAGGAGGGTTTAGTTAAATCAGTTGGCACATGTACTTGTGTGTACACTTGTGTAGACAGATTCATCGAGCTCTTAGCTCAAAAGGGACCAATGCAGACTCAGAGCCAGTGCTGCTCCTGCCCTGGGAGCAGAGCCCAGGCCCCTCTTCTAGCTCTGCCCCCAAGAGGGAGAAGCGTGTGGCAAAGCTGAACTCGGTGGCCACTCATGGATCGCTGGAGGCACACTCTTCTTTCTTCTAAAGGAAGCAGCAGCATACCAGAGCCCATAGTGTGCTGTGCCATAGTAGAGGAAGGGCTCAGAGAGCCAAGAGTCCGGTGGGCCTATACTCTTCGTGGGGTGGTTTCTGACTTCCTTCTGTCTCCCTGTGTCAGACACAGAGGGCTGTGATGGGACAATTAACAAACTGGCTATATGGGTCAACCACACTATACTACAACTACATCGTACCACAACCACACTACCACACACTTACAAACTGGTTAAAGGGATGGAGCTCAGGTTAAGTGCCGATGTAACAATAAAAACAAGTTCTGGGGCTGGAGAGATGGCTCAGTGGTTAAGAACACTGGCTGTTCTTGCAGAAGACCTGGTTGTAATCCCAGCACCCACATGTCTGTAACTCCAGTTCCAGGGGATCCGACAGCCTCTTCTGTCTTCTCAGGGCATTGCATGACACGGGTGTACTTATCTACATGTACGCAATACATTAATACATATAAAATTTTAAAAAAAGTTCTTTGTATTTGCCAAACTTTTTGTAACAGAAATTAAGTTTAAAGGAAACCCCAAGTTACTATCAAATTTGGGGCAGGTGGAGAGTTCCCAAGAGGTAAAGTAGAAGAAATCTTAGGCAAAGTTTAAGAGACAGCAAAGACTGTTACTTATGAATCCTACGTCTTCCCCTCACTAAACAAAGATGAAGAAAAACTGACCTTCCTTTAAAATTGTGTGTGTGTGTGTGTGTGTGTGTGCACCATGGTGCATGTGGAGAGGTTAGATGGCATCTTTTGAGAGTCAGTTCTATCTTTTTACCAGGTGGGATCTGGGGAATCAAGCTCAGGTTTGTCAGGCTTAGTGGCAAGCACCTTTACCCACTGAGCCATCTCACTGGCCCAAGAATGGAACAGAAATGTTTTATTATTTATAATTTTTATTTATGTATATGAGTGTTTTGCCTGCATGCCTGTAAGTGCACCACATGCATGCAATACCTGTGGAGGCCAGAGAGGGCATCAATTCCCCTGGAACTGGAGTTATGGGCACTTGTTAGCTGCCATGTGGGAGCTAGAGACTAAACCTGGTCCTCTACAAAAGCATCCAGTGCTCTTAACTTATGAGCCATCTTAACAACCCCAACAATGGAACTTTCTAAACTTTGATTTCTTCATCTGTTAAATAAGACTAAGTGAGGATTAATAAGACCATATTCCTACAAAAATTTTAGTATAGCCATGTAAACCTATATCCTACATTATATATGTATACATGTCCATATATATAAAATTTCAACTTAGTTTTTTTTTTTTTGTATGTGTATGTGTGTATTGCCTACATGTAGATAAGTACACCTGTGTCATGCAATGCCCATGGAGGACAGAAGAGGTTGTCAGATCCCCTGGAACTGGAGTTATGGACAGTTGTTAGCCACCATGTGGGTGCTGGGATATGAACCCAGGTTTTCTGCAAGAACAGCCAGTGTTCTTAACCACTGAACCATCTCTCCAGCCCTCAACTTAGATTTAAAATTTTCAGTTTAATTGTGAGCAATGATGGGCAAAAAGTCATGAATTATGAATCTGGTATGCTTCTTACACTTTTTTTGTCTTTTTGTTGTTGTTGTTGTTTTTGACAAAAGAAAGGGTTTCCCTGTAACCCCAGATGTCCTGAAACTCATTACGTAGACCAGGCTGGCCTTGAACTCACAGAGATCCATCTGCCTCTGCCTCCAAAGTGCTGGGACTACAGGCATGCGCCACCACACCCAGCCGCTTCTTAGACTTTTTAAACTAATCAACATTAAAATTAATTCATCTTAAAATTTCTAATGTTGAGCTGGGGCTGAGCCCAGGGACTGAGCACTTGACTAGCTTGGGTAAGGCT